AGAGGTTTAGCCAAAACCACCCCACCTCTGAGGTGATTTGGGTGAAAATGTTTTTTTTTCTATATCTCTGGCCCCCCCTTGCTCGATTTTGATGGTTGACACACCTTTCTGACCGTTAGAGCCAATAGACTCGAAGGGGGAGGCTCCCTCTCACACACATGGTAAAAAAAAAAGGTGGGGGCTTCGCGCATGCAGTAGAGATGGCAAATCCGGATCCTTTTACGGACTCAGGGTCTTCTGAGTCAGTCATTGAAGAGATCCGGATCATACGAGTCATTTGAGTCATATGAGTCAGCATCACCAAGACCGTAGAAATCCTATCGGTGAAACCGAAAAGTTGTTGCATTTCACGAGCATATTATTATTCCATATATTTTGAATATATATATATATTTGTTTATATATATATATATAATATCTGCATGTATATTTTCTATTTTGACATGTATATTTTATATTTTATATTTTATTTTATTTTTCTTTCTATTCTTGTATATTTTGTAGTTTTGTTTTATTGTAAAATGCCTTTTATGCTGCTGTAACAACAACAATTTCCCAATTTGGGATCAATAAAGTACTATCTATCTATCTATCTATTAAACTGACGTTATATTAACCTCCGATTTGGCAAATCTGAGTCTGCTGTTGACTCGTGCATGAGGACGAGTCTGCTGGATCTCTGGATCTGCTGCTATACGGCTCCGAGTCCGCACGAGTCTGCTCTGCTGTGTGTTGCACAGTGAGTCAGGATTTGCGAATCTGAGTCTGCTGTTGACTCGTGCATGACGACGAGTCTGCTGGATCTCTGGATCTGCTGCTATATGGTTACGGCTCCGAGTCCGCACGAGTCTGCTCTGCTGTGTGTTGCACAGTGAGTCAGGATTTGCGAATCTGAGTCTGCTGTTGACTCGTGCATGACGACGAGTCTGCTGGATCTCTGGATCTGCTGCTATATGGTTACGGCTCCGAGTCCGCACGAGTCTGCTCTGCTGTGTCAGGATTTGCGAATCTGCGAATCTGCGAGTCTGCGAGTCTGCTGTTGACTCGTGCATAATATAGCGCGGGAGCCGGGTGCTGGAGGAGGGGCTATGCTCGTGCACATGACGAGTATGGATCTCTGGATCTGCTATGCTATTACGGTTAGGAGCCGTCGGCTCCTCTGAGTCCCCACGAGTCTGCAGGAAGTTTCACTGATCCGCGTCCCCTCCCCTGAGCCAAACGATAACTTCTGGCAGGCAGCTATCCTGTATACTTGCTAAAGGGTAGGCAGATGGACTGGGGTACGTTGTAATGTGATTTTACATGTTATAAAGAGAGTAGCAAGTGACGCAATTTATAGTTTTAATTTGTACGTCACACCAAGTGTGGGACTCATGGACTCGGGTTAATGGAGAGGGGAGACTCGTCACGACCAGCTCATTTCTAGGATCCGGGTTAATGATCCGGATGAATCAGGACTCGCCCATCTCTAGCATGCAGTTTTGCATCAGAGCGAGCTTGTGCTCTAGCTCTGACATCTGGAAACGGAAAAGCAGTTTTATTGCTTATGGATTATCAGAAATAATTTCAAAGAGGGCACAGATACATTGGATGAACCTATGGATTAACTGCAGCATCGTTTTTTTATCGTTTTAATGCCATTGAAGACCAGTTTTGACCAAGGTAAGCCATGTTAGCGTTTCTAGCTACTTAGCTCCACATGTTATGATGTACGCTTTCGTTTATAGCGTCGCAAATGTTTATCACTGAGTGTTGAGGAGGGCACCACTAGATTCAGTGTCTCCAGGACACCAAAAACGAGTGGTTGGCTGTGCATCTAGGATAAGTAATAAGGGAGTTAGAGTGAGTTTAAGTGCCGTTTTAGGTTAATTTTTTTCACTCGTGGCTAATTCAGAGGCTGAGTGCTAGCATTGTGGGTTTTTTTTGGATTTTTTTGTTTAAAAAGATCAGTTAGCTGAGTTTCTTCCCGTTACATGGATATAAAACATTCATAGTTTTATTAAATATTAAGATTCCTTAGACGTTGTTTCCTACAAATGACGCATTTATCCACCCGGTACCGGGGGGACCGTGCGTAACAGGTTATTAACCTATGGATCAACCGATTCAGCCGCGTTTTTTCTCGTTTTAATGCCATTGAACACGTCTTTTGATCAGATTGACAGCTACGGTGAGACGATCTCCCGTAAAAGCTCCGTAAAGGTACTTGTTGTGATGTCTGTGTTTGCTTCCCCTGTCGCGAGTTCGGATCGCTCAGTGATGATACTATACCTATATAATCTGTGGAGTCTCAGCTTTAATCGGATATATTGTATGTGCAGTTACGATAAGTAATAAGGGTATCTTTATCTTGAGTTCTGTGCTAAGTGTGTTAGCATTTTTTTGCTTAGTGCTAATTCAGAGGCTTGGTATTACCCTTGTGTTTTGTTTTGGTAAAAATGGTTAATATCTTCAGTTAGCTGAGATTCTTCCCGTTAATCTGGTACTACACATTAATAGTTTCATAAATGTTAAGAAGCCCTGAGACACAGTCTCGAAAAAAAACGGTGGGGGGGGTCCACTGGGGGGACCGTCGTCCTTAAGAGGTTAAACAAGCGAGTGCCTGTTTTTCCTGGCCAAGGTCAGGGTCCTTGAACACAACACGGGCCTAACGTGTCATCACGTGGTATATGTCTCGTCTGACAGGGGTGCAGTTCTGACGGAGAGCACCAGAACTTCGCTCCGGCATTTCCAAAAATGGCAGTACCCATAAGGAGCCGTACACATGCCGCAGTTTTTGCATGGCTGTGTCTTTAGTTGAAAGCCCAGTGGCGATCTGTTCATCTGTCATACTGATCATACAGTCAATAACTTGTTGTTATTAGCATCTGGTTAGCTAGCTATGCTAACGAATATAAGAAGCTTTTTCTCCAACCAGTGAGGTAAAGGCACATCTTTATATGATCATTATAGTTATAAAAAAATAAGAGAATAAAGTAAACAGTTATAAAATACTATATGACAGTAAAAAAAAGTTGTTATTAATAAACAAGAATACAGTTTGAAAGGGGAGTGATTTGTAAAATATCCATAAAGAAAAAGAAAATCTGCTTACAGTTCTGTTTCATATGGATGTTGAGAGATGTATCCATAGATCTCCTAATGTTGCTCTCAAAGTGCACCAGATTTAACTTCAACATTTAAAACAAATCTTCCCGGGGGAGCATGCCCCCGGACCCCCCTAGAGGAGGTTAGGTCCCCCCCCCCCCCCCCCCCACTTAAATCATGTCCACATGGATAGGAAACTAAATACATTTGCACACATCTTGTGTCCATATCTTTCTGCTTTGGTGGTCATGCCACAACCGTGCACGTAAATGCATACATGAGTCATGGTAAGATATCTGGATTAAGAGGTTGCTTTTTCTTTGCACAGCATGAAAGAAAGGCGAAATGAATGGGCTGTGATTTTAGTATTTTTAAGCAGAGGTCAATAATTTGTACGGCCCTCGGAGGATGTTGAAAAAATGTAAATGGCCCTTGAGAGAAAAAAGGTTCCCCACTATATAAATATGAACCCTGAAAATGAGCAGAATATGTTCTTTTTGAGGAGCACTGAGTGAATGAAGACAGAGAGGGAAGTTGAGAAGATGAAGTCAGAGCTCAGCTCAGTGGTCTGTACTATGCTGTCAGCCTTTCATCCTCCTCCCCATCTCGTCTCACCGCCCGCAGCGGTGGTGTAATGGCCTTGGCAGTCAGCTGAACAAGCTGAAAGCCCCAAGAAGGCCATTACCGCTCATGTTTGTGATGCAACCGATTTTAAAAGGGAACAAATACACCATGAAACTCTGAATTTTTCATCTGCTGCTGATCCATTTTATGTGTCTGTATCATCAATATTGCAGAGCTCCAAAGGGCTATCACACACACGCACACACAAAAAGATGGAATATCAGTTGTAAAATCTGACCTATTTTGTCATATCTGCCAGTGAACCACTTTCTGATTTATTTTTCTATTTTAGCTTTCTCTTCCTTTCAGTTCTTCTTTTCCTTTTTCACAGACAATATATCGGCATGGACATTATTGTCTTATCACAGATATATTGGTTTTGGCCTTCCATGCAAAGGTTTTTTTTTTTTTATCATAGTAGGCATCAATCATTTAAGACTCTAACCTCGAAGTGCTATTTGCAGTGGTGGAAAGTAACTAAATGCATTTACTCAGGTACTTAAGTACACATTTGAGGTATTTGTACTACACTTGAGTTTTTTCTTTTGATGCATTTTTTTACTTTTACTTCTACACATTCCTGTGACCGCTGGCATACACTTCAAAAAAGTTAAGATGGATAATATGATGTGTTTGTTTCAAATAAACTACAGTTCACACAAAAAAAGACAAACCTATTAATGTATTTATAAGTAGATTGACAGAAAATGCATTGATTCCAAACTATTTTGATAATTTAAGTTACTTTCATGAAATAACAATCCAGATTGATTCATTTTTCCACTGAATAACAGGAAAACAGGTATTAAGTATGGTGGCCGACAGGTGCAAAGCACTTCAATGCCCAAAAACATTTTCATTGGGAGAGATGCACTACAGTTTAAAAAAAGATACGAATATAAGAACACAAATGTGCCAAAACACATGAACATGAAGAAACATCTTCACCAACTTGACCAACATGTGTATCGTAAACTAAACTAAGTGTAGTGTTGATAGAATAGGGGGGATTGGGGTGCCATAAGAATTTTTTGTAGAGCTCATTCACCCGAATATGTGTGCCAAGTTTCGAGTCCATCGGACTTACCTGGAGAGAGTGATGGCCTTTCAAAACTCGTTTTAAGAAAGGGGGCACTATAGAGCGCACGGTGGAGAAATCAGAAAACTGATCCTCGAAATGTTTGCGTTTAAAGCGCAGTATAATCAATAATTCAAAATGAGCTTTACTTGAATCAGAACTAAATACTACACCAAATAACACAGAGATCCAATCTGATAACAGTCCTTACCTGTCAGTTTTGGGCCAGCTGCTCCATCCTGGTCGCAGTCAATGGATGCTGTCTCCTCATACACCTCGTTGGTCTCTTGGCCCTTCTGCCCGTCGGCACCTCCTGGCTCCAATTGGCTTTCAGGGGCCGCTTGATCATAATTACTGGTGTTAGGGGACAGCAGACCCCCCGTCTCCACAGAAACCTCTCCGGCGGAAGTGTCTGATCCGGTGTAGACGGGAGGAGGCGGGACGGGGGGCAGGGAGTTTCGGAGGACGGTGTATTCGTATGTAATGTACGGTGTGCGGCCATTCTGATTCCACACCTGAGTGACGACAGGGAAATGTCAGTTTAGTTTACACTGGTGTCAACAAGTTAACAAGAACAGCTGATAATAAAACTAGGAGCAAAGCTACACATACTGATTTCACAATAGGACCTTTACAAAACACATATGTTGTTCCTGTTCAAATGTTGGGCTTAGTCCATTGTTTTTTAAACCTCCGGAACTCCTGAACTGTCATCCGTTTTAACGTGTTTCAGCATATCTTATAATATAATACCTAATAAAAGTTTGTGAAAAAGGTTTACTTTATTTATAGTATGAATGAACTTTGAAAGAGGTTTGAGCATATTTTGTTAAAGATGATGTTTCCGCGGGACAACGTGCAGCGCAAACTTGCGGGATGGATTGCACGGTTGTTAAAGGCGATTTAATGGAACAATGTGTAGAATAATCATAAGGTAACAATGGGGTCTCGGTAACAGAATCTGGATTAATATTTGATCAGCACGGCCAATTTTGACAATTTAATCAAAGTTCTTAAGCAATGAAGGCACATGGTTGACACTGTAATACAGACTCCTCTGTTCTGATTGGTTTTTGGTTGGTGGGCTGGAATGCTATTAGGAAAACTAGAGGAGAAAAAAGAGACTGATTGTTTTTCCACAGATTACCCGTTTTATGCAATAGAGTGGTGCTCCTATCCTAAAACCCTGAAGTAACTTTGCATTGTACTACTTCCGGTTCCCTTGTTTCCAATTCAACAGGAAAAAAAAAAGGAAGCCTAAAAAAAAGGTTTGTGGTTAACACAAGCCTAAGAGATTTTCACGTTTCGTTCTCCAACATAAAATTTGTCATCACACAGACACAACACTGCGTTTAGCTTAGCAGTGATGGGAGGCTATGCGTTAGCTTTTAAATCCTGACGATTTCATTTATACTTCAACATCGGGTCCCTTTGATTATGATATAACAGATGGAGAGGCTTGAGTGTTGAGTGTACCAGAATATTGATGGCCTGGTCGATGGGGCCTTTGGCGACGATGTATTCGATTCCGGTTTCGTACACATCCATAGGCCGGCGGTATTTAAAGACGGCGCCTGCTGCATGGAAGTTCTGGGGACTGTCTACCTTGTAGGCTCCATTAAAGAAGAAGTTACCGGCCTGGTCAGTCACAGCTGGGGGACAAGATAAATGGAAAACTCTGAGAATCAAGTAAGACATTTCTCTCGACCAGGTTAAAAATTTGACTTCAATTCCATTGAACATTTCAAAGACAGTCGAGCTTTTGTGCGTAAGTTCGTGTGTGAAATCAGGAAATATATATTGTTTGTGTGGAGCAGGAAAAGAGGAAGTGCCCACCGAGAACATCGGCCGACTTCTTCCTTTCAATGATCTGGATGTCCCAGGATCCTTCAGGGATTTGAGTGATAAACGAGTAACCTTGACGAAAGGCAATCAAAAGTGGTCAGTATCATTTCAGTCTTTTTCATTTTATGTTGTTTATTTAACAAAGAAGACTTTTTCTGGTTGAACTAAGGGCGCTATTTAAAAAAAACATCTGTAGGAGGATAGCCTGGGATACTTAAACTCCAACTCACCGAGAGTCGTGGCCCCACGGCGGAAGTTTCCGTTGACTCTGCTGCAGCTGCTGCCATCCCCTTGACAGACACCACACTTATCCAAGGTCTTGGAGGAGAACAGTACTCCGTCACATCCGATTGGCTGAATGGCAAAGCAGGAAGTCAAAGAAGATAGGATTAAAATCATAAAATATCTTCCTTAAATCATTACACAATTAATTAAACATCAGTTACAACATGGTTATGATTCAGAAGGTGGCAAATATTTATTATCATGAGATTTAATTATTATTTTTAATGTGTGTACTTTTATTGACTAGTTATTGCTATTAGTCTCATGTAAAGTGCCTTTGAGTTCTGAGCGCTGGTCAAAATAAATGTATTATTAATGTTATTGTAATTAGTGATGCATTAGAGATGCAAAATAACTACTATTATCAATTAATTCAATTATTAAGGAGGAAAGTACTCATTACATTCACTTATTTGTGTTATCTGTTATTGAGTGTTTTAAAACATTTGAGAAAAGTTTTGAGTTGATCAATAACTGATGCAAGACGCTTTGCACATTTCGACAGTGGAGCTTAACATTCTTCATTGATTTAATCTTGTTTTTTTCTCCTTTCTTTTCAAAAATGACATGTAGGAGAGCTGAACTCTTAATGACACAACTTGTATTGTATCTTGTCACTATGTTATTGCAGTGACTGCATCCCAAAAAAAATTGTTTGAGCGGATCCCAATTGTAAATGTGCTTCAGACACCATCAATTCTCATAAAAGACACTTATTATTTCACTCTAAATGCTTGTAACTATCACAACTGATCTTTGTCTCTTTTGCATACATATGGGCTTTTTTTGGTCTCATTTCTAAATCTTCCTAAACGCCATGTAAGCCTTTTGTGAATTTATTTGTTTTAAGTTCTGCCTGTTGTTGATCACTCATAGCCAAGTTGTGGGATGCCACAAGAAGAGTTTTGTTTTACCACTAACACAGCCAGTTATTCTCTGAATAAAAAATAAAAAGGCAAGGGAGAAAAAAAAAGGAGTTGTTTAAATTCAAATCTCAATAGGGCTGCCTTCAAATAGTCGACCAAACGTTAGTCGGCTAGAAAAGTCCTATGGTGCGTTCACACAAATCGCATCGCGATTACATGTAAAGTTAAATCTAAAGACACGGATAGATGCAAATTCGTTCTGGCGGCGCGAATGATGCGATTGACGCGACTCAAGCGTCAAATTTGCGTGACTTGTTTGTCAACCGTCATCGGCCAGATCACCGACGGCGACGAGACGGCGTACAGAGAGGAGGTCGAAACCCTGATATCTTGGTGCCAGGATAACAACCTCCATCTCAACGTCAGCAAAACAAAGGAGCTGATTGTGGATTACAGGAAGCAGCAGAGAGAGGGACACGCCCCCATCGCCATCAATGGGACTACGGTGGAGAGAGTCAGCAACTTCAGGTTCCTCGCTGTCCACATCACTGAGGACCTGACATGGACTCGTCACACTAACACCATCACCAAAACAGATCGACAGCTGCTCTTCTTCCTCCGCTGGCTGAGCAGGTTCAACATGGACTCCAGGACACTCTGCAACTTCTACAGGTGCACCATAGAGAGGATCCTGACCTTCTACAGGTGCACCATAGAGAGCATCCTGACCTTCTACAGGTGCACCATAGAGAGGATCCTGACCTTCTACAGGTGCACCATAGAGAGCATCCTGACCTTCTACAGGTGCACCATAGAGAGGATCCTGACCTTCTACAGGTGCACCATAGAGAGTATCCTGACCTTCTACAGGTGCACCATAGAGAGGATCCTGACCTTCTACAGGTGCACCATAGAGAGGATCCTGACCTTCTACAGGTGCACCATAGAGAGGACCCTGACCATCTACAGGTGCACCATAGAGAGCATCCTGACCTTCTACAGGTGCACCATAGAGAGGACCCTGACCATCTACAGGTGCACCATAGAGAGCATCCTGACCTTCTACAGGTGCACCATAGAGAGGATCCTGACCTTCTACAGGTGCACCATAGAGAGCATCCTGACCTTCTACAGGTGCAACATAGAGAGCATCCTGACCTTCTACAGGCGCACCATAGAGAGTATCCTGACCTTCTACAGGTGCACCATAGAGAGGATCCTGACCTTCTACAGGTGCACCATAGAGAGGATCCTGACCTTCTACAGGTGCACCATAGAGAGGATCCTGACCTTCTACAGGTGCACCATAGAGAGCATCCTGACCTTCTACAGGTGCACCATAGAGAGCATCCTGACCTTCTACAGGCGCACCATAGAGAGGATCCTGACCTTCTACAGGTGCACCATAGAGAGGATCCTGACCTTCGCACCATAGAGAGGATCCTGACCTTCTACAGGTGCACCACAGAGAGCATCCTGACCTTCGCACCATAGAGAGGATCCTGACCTTCTACAGGCGCACCATAGAGAGCATCCTGACCTTCTACAGGCGCACCATAGAGAGGATCCTGACCTTCTACAGGCGCACCATAGAGAGGATCCTGACCTTCTACAGGCGCACCATAGAGAGGATCCTGACCTTCTACAGGCGCACCATAGAGAGCATCCTGACCTTCTACAGGTGCACCACAGAGAGCATCCTGACCTTCGCACCATAGAGAGGATCCTGACCCTCTACAGGTGCACCATAGAGAGGATCCTGACCTTCGCACCATAGAGAGGATCCTGACCTTCTACAGGTGCACCATAGAGAGGATCCTGACCTTCTACAGGTGCACCACAGAGAGCATCCTGACCTTCGCACCATAGAGAGGATCCTGACCCTCTACAGGTGCACCATAGAGAGGATCCTGACCTTCGCACCAAAGAGAGGATCCTGACCTTCTACAGGTGCACCATAGAGAGGATCCTGACCTTCTACAGGTGCACCATAGAGAGGATCCTGACCTTCTACAGGTGCACCATAGAGAGCATCCTGACCTTCTACAGGTGCACCATAGAGAGCATCCTGACCTTCTACAGGCGCACCATAGAGAGGATCCTGACCTTCTACAGGTGCACCATAGAGAGGATCCTGACCTTCGCACCATAGAGAGGATCCTGACCTTCTACAGGTGCACCACAGAGAGCATCCTGACCTTCGCACCATAGAGAGGATCCTGACCTTCTACAGGCGCACCATAGAGAGCATCCTGACCTTCTACAGGCGCACCATAGAGAGGATCCTGACCTTCTACAGGCGCACCATAGAGAGGATCCTGACCTTCTACAGGCGCACCATAGAGAGGATCCTAACCTTCTACAGGTGCACCACAGAGAGCATCCTGACCTTCGCACCATAGAGAGGATCCTGACCCTCTACAGGTGCACCATAGAGAGGATCCTGACCTTCGCACCATAGAGAGGATCCTGACCTTCTACAGGTGCACCATAGAGAGGATCCTGACCTTCTACAGGTGCACCACAGAGAGCATCCTGACCTTCGCACCATAGAGAGGATCCTGACCCTCTACAGGTGCACCATAGAGAGGATCCTGACCTTCGCACCAAAGAGAGGATCCTGACCTTCTACAGGTGCACCATAGAGAGGATCCTGACCTTCTACAGGTGCACCATAGAGAGGATCCTGACCTTCTACAGGTGCACTATAGAGAGCATCCTGACCTTCTACAGGTGCACCATAGAGAGGATCCTGACCTTCTACAGGTGCACCATAGAGAGCATCCTGACCTTCTACAGGTGCACCATAGAGAGTATCCTGACCCTCTACAGGTGCACCATAGAGAGGATCCTGACCTTCTACAGGTGCACCATAGAGACTATCCTGACCTTCTACAGGTGCACCATAGAGAGGATCCTGACCTTCTACAGGTGCACCATAGAGAGGATCCTGACCTTCTACAGGTGCACCATAGAGAGCATCCTGACCTTCTACAGGTGCACCATAGAGAGTATCCTGACTGGCTGCATCACAGCCTGGTACGGCAGCTGCACCGCCCTCAATCGTGAGACTTTACAGAGGGTGGTGAAAACTGCACAGCACATCACCAGGACGGAGCTGCCATGGAGGACCTTTACTCCCAGCGGCTCAGGAAAAAAGCCCTCAGGATTATCAAAGACCCCCATCACCCCAGCCACAAACTGATCCGTCTGCTGACGTCAGACAGGCGGTACCGCAGCATCAGGACTAAAACCACCAGACTCAGGGACAGTTTCATCCCACAGGCTGCTTCCACTCCTACTGCTATTTATTAAATGTTTTACTTTATTATTTGCCCCTTTTGTTTGTTTGTTTGTTCACCATGCAAAGCGGGCTTGGGTCCCTTGAAAGGTGCTATAAAAATGTAATCTATTATTATTATTATTATTGTTATTATTATTATTATTATTATAAGAGTGTTAAACACCTGAACTTTTGAAAGAACATGCATAACATTCATCTGTTTGCCATTTATATATATCAATATTCCAATTACTTGTATAAAGACTATTCTGCATTCTATTTGATTTTATTAACTTGCACTATTTTATCTGTTTTATTGTGTTGCACTGTTGACCTAAGATTGTCATTGTCATAACTACATTGTCGCTATGTACAAATGACAATAAAAGCCTTGAATCCTTGAATCTTGAATAATAAGGTTATTTCTCAGCCTTGAAGCCAAAATAAATTAATATTCATAATCATAAACGTATAACAACTATTCAACAAATTGACAGAATTGACAGCAAATGGTTGACTAGAAAAATCTTAAGTTGAGGACAGCCCATATTTTAACACTTCGAGAAAGCTTTGCATAGAAAAAACACAGACCTGATGTGGTGCTTCAGATTGAGAGGAAGTTAAACAACTACAAAGTAAAGAAGAAGCTGGACTCACCTCACACTTACCGTCCACGCAGACGCCGCGGTAACTGCTGTACTTGCAGGACGTGCCGTCTCGTGCCGTCTCCATCAGCTGCCTCTGGCCGTCGGCCGTGGTGCAGTGGAGGTCACAGGGGTTACTGGAGATGTGAACGTAGTCGTCTGTGTGAGGAACACAGGGTGAAGGTCACTGTCTTTAGAAGCAATAAAAGACTATTTACTTTTACCGACATACGGCTAATTACTGCTGTTTGAATGCTAGAGATGTTACATATTCTTCCCCAGCTGGCTGCTATGTTCCTGTGTCTGTCTGCTGTTTAGTGCAGGTTTGCTTAAAACACTCTCCAACCATTGCTGCCAACAGAAAATCTGACACCAAAACCTAAAAAGGGTTAAAACTCTGAGAATGTATCCTTTGATTGACTGACTGCCAAATTCAATGCAGGAACCATGGGAAAGGAACATTGACCTTTAGTTTAAACCCATTTTCCAATAATAAATGCAGTCTGTTGGTACACAGAACTACAGTTTTCCCTGACATACAGTCAGTAGATAGTAGAAATATGGAAATGTTATGAAAAACTCAGCCAAACGGAGACAGATTTTGAAAATGTATTCAGATTTCCACTGTTGTTAAAAAAAATCCTATTTTCTGCTTTTACTAGAGTTAATTACGGTGGCCGACAGGTGCAAACGCGATTCAACGGCCCAAAACACTTCCATTAGGAGACACGCGATACAGTTTCAGAAACGATGCAGATATAAAAACACAAATGTGTACAAACAAATGCAAATCAAGAAACATCTTCACCAAATTGACAACAAATGTGGAGCATTTAGAAAGCATTCACCAACTTGACGAAACATGACAGTTCGCCAACTTTATAATCCCTGAACGTCAACAACCGCTCCGGTCCCAGGTTTTTAGTGTTCCTGTTTCAGTTGTTTGTTGAGCTTCTTGCAACGTTTCTAATTTGCGGCGTTTCATTTATGCAGTGATTTTAGTAAACACTGGACATGTTGATGAATGTTTTCTAAATTCTGCGCATGTGTTGTCAAGTTGGCGAAGATGTTTATTTAATTTGCATGTGTTTTGCCATATTTGTCTTTTTTTATTTGCATAGTTTTTTAAACTGCAGCGCGTTTCTCCTAATGGAAATGTTTTGGACTGTTGTAGCGCGTTTACACCTGTTAGCCACCGTAGATAATCATTTCTTTGAGAACAACAAAGTGGTTCAATAAAAAACACTTCCAAGACATTGTATTTTTTAAGAAGTCATACACGCTGCTACTGTTTTGGATGCAGGGCATGTTAAAGACTAGCAGCTCAGACAGCAAATACCACAGTCACCTATGGTCTGTTTAATATGATAAAGTGAGGTTGTGAAGGTGTTTTCTGGGTGTTAATACCAGGATACAGGGGTTTCCATTGGTAGTTTTTCCCATTGTAAAGCTGCGAGTTGAAGGACCAGCACTGCTCCTCTCTGAAGCTCCTCCCAGTGGCAGGACATTCCTGCAGTGCAGAGACAGCACAGACCATTAAAACAGGTCTGTTTCACACTTGTTAAGACTCGGTTTAACAGTATTTAATACAAATAAAGAAAATGTAAGCGCTTATTTGTGCAGGGATAGCTTTCTGAGCCCCGCCCAGCTTCACTTTCAAACAGCTACATACAGTCACGCCTGAAGGCCGCCAGAGCCAATCACAGAGCTTTACTGTCAGCCAGTCAGAAGGACTGTGCTTTGTTTTGATAATGATGTGAAATACAGTAATGAGAAATTAACTGGAAGCCTGTGACTCACATCAGTGTTGCAGAGGTGATATTTCTTTGCGGTTCCTGTACAGGTCATGTTGTCTTTCCCAGCAGCAACTTTCTTTCTTTGGAAAAAAAACAAACATTTGGAGAAATTACATGAAATAAAAAAAAGATTTGACGAAACCATAACGGCCCGTCCACACAGCGGCGTGCGTTGAAGCTTGCCGGCGGGCGTGTCTGAAACTCGACCAACAACCAATCACATGAATCTCCCGCCCCTGACACACAAGCAGCGGTTTGATTGGCTAGAGCTTGTACTGGCATATGATTCGATTGGCTGACGCTTCTGCCGAGGCTTCAAAAGTTGAACATTGCTCAACTTTTGCTTCGCTTCCCACAATGCAGTTCGGCGAAAAGTGACATCACCCCATTCAAAGTGAATGGTGAAGCTTTCAACGCACGCCGCTGTGTGGACGGGCCGTAATGAATAAAACATCAGTTTTAGGCTGTCAGCTGTTCTTATATTAGAGTTGCTAATTGCTAATTTTCACATTTAATATTTGTATGTTGTGCTTCTACTGTGACATGTCCCCATGCTTTAATGTTCAAAAAGCTCTTTATTTTTCTCATACTGCCTGTGCTGCAGCACCTCTTTAAGTCAAGAGGTGCTTGACTTAAAGAGTCAATCCTCCTGAAACCAGAGCCCTGCTCTGATTTGTTGACTGACCGACCTATGTTGTGATAGGTCCACCACTTAGAGATGTTCCGCCACTAAGCCTATCACGTACAGTGTGTTGAAAAGATATCAAATAGGAGCGCGAGTGTTACATAGTGATGTCACTAATGTTACGGAAGTAAACAAAAGAGTCTAATGGAGTACACAAAAGAGTCTAATGGAGGCATTTCAGGCGTGTGGGAGTGTGTGGGAGTGTGTGGGAGAGAAACTCCCTCTGGAGGGAACACAGGGATATGCTTCATGTTGTGGGGACAGAAGTCTGTTCAGTCACATTGCGAGAACTTAGTTTTATGAGAGGACTGACCTCTGTTTGAGGCAGTGTCTCTCCTGTGACATCACTCCCCCTCCACAGGCACGAGTGCAGGCTGTCCACTTAGCCCACTCCCCCCACCAATACGTGGTTACCTCCAGCTCGTCCTCCAGACTGTTGGACACCACGCCATCATCCTGTAAACATACAAACACCCACACACACATGCAGATAATTGTAATCGATTCTTGTAGCAGTAATCATATTAACACAATCGAAACCTGGAAGCAGCTTTTGACAAAATATTTAAATGAATAAGGTGTGTAATATTCCATTTATCCAGTGGGGGACCCAAGCTGTCTGAGGGGTAAGGGCAGAAAAGATAAGGGGACGCAAGCTGAGTGCATCAGTAACCAGCAAGCACATATTTTCGCGCGTGTAGGGCAGCCTATGTCATGAACCGATCCGTACCGGAAACCCGGTTCTACGCACGTCCTGGGATTTAAATAAAATTATGTTATGTCTTGTTTGATGAGTTATAAAATAGAAGACTTAAATTACCGTATTTTCCGGACTATAAGTCACGCTTTTTTTAGCTGTCTGGCTGGTCCTGCGACTTATACTCCGAAGCGACTTATATATTGTATTTTGTCTGACTACGTTCAAGCTCCGGCCAATAGATGGCACTGTATACAATCGTGACAACTGAAAACTGCTGTACCACTGAAGAAGAAAAAAGTCACGGCAACCAGGAGGATGCGTCACGTAATGTGTAACTTAGGATGTTGTGGGATGGATCGACACAGCATGGGCTTCAGTGAAGACCGACACCATCCTGTCGGGATTCAGAAGGCCGGTCCAATCGGAGCTGATTCTGATGGTGAGTCTGAGGACAGCCCGGAGCAGGACATGCTGCTTCATCGACATGGAAGTGTTTAACAGCGACACAGAGGATGAAGACTTCAGTGGATAAATGTGACTTATACACCGAAGCGACTTACTGTATATATGTTTTTTTTTCTCTTAACGGCACATTTTTTTACAAGAGCGAATTATACACAGGTGCAACTTATAGTCCGGAAAATACGGTAGTCCTTATTAAAATTAAATACTTTTTTCCTTTTTTGGTAAAGAATGTCAAAATATGGAGCTAATTTCGTCATGCATTAACAAAGAAAAGCTAGTTAAATGCTTGCATAGCTTAAATAAAGTCATTGTTAAAGTCATTCAATTATGAACAATGAAATATATATCAAGGTATACTATATTTATTCAGCGTTGGAAGAAGTGAAAGAAAGAGCATTTAAGCATTGTAGTTTGACAACGTGGACCAAATGTAAATACTACAAATTCTATGTAGATAACTGGTACAGTACTGCAATATATCATAACAGCATATCAAGTTTTTTATATGTGCAAAGTAACTAGTAATTGTGAGTGTTAAAATAAATGTAGTGGAGTAAAAAGTAAAATATTTGCCTCGAAATTTAGTACAGTGGAAGTACTGTATAGAGATGCAATAAAATGAAAATACTTAAGTAAAGTAGAAATGTATCAAAAAAGTACTTAAATACAAAACTTACATATGCTCAATTACACCACTGTACTTATTTGAAGTTAAGATAAGAAAAAAATATATATTTGGAAGTAGACCACTGGATTTTGTCATTGAGTGTATCAATGTGTATTTCTAAAGATGTGTTATTAAGATAAAGTTATCTTTTTTCTTTGTATATCATGCCCTCAGTTCGGTATTATATTATTTTTGGATGTTGTTGTTGAAATAGTTGTTCAATAACGTTATTTTTAAAACTCTGAGACTTTCTCAACAATGCCGTAAATCAATATTTGCGCACATGCACAGAACCGATCGGGTTTCCGGTACAGATCGGGTAGTGAAAGGCTATACTGCACTGCATTCTGTCTTCTTAATTTAAAGGTCCTAGAGGTCAAATTATCACATTTTGTCCACTGGAAGGGCACTCGGAGAGCATTTCTTCACATTTTCTCGACTGGAAGGGCCCTCAGAGGAACAATGTTATGACCTCCACTGGAATGGAAGTTCTTTACATAACTTTACTGTGAAAGTTTTTTCCACTTCTGATTTCAAATAGAATTGTGTCTGCCATTGAGCTATTGTGATATAAAAACATAAAACTAGTATTTGTTATAGTTTAAGAAACAGATGCGGTACTTTCAACAATGTTAAAACCATTGTACAGTTGATTGGACATTCAGAACAGGGGAGTGCGTCACATCCAAATAGAATCCCAATAAATGATTGTCACAGTGTTTTGTTCTGGGCCACCGACGTGTGAAGATGCTCAGCATTTCACAAATTCCTGATGTGCCTACTAAGCAGCATTAATTTAGGCCAATGGCTGCATCCCTTTATTCAGAGAGATTCATCAGGGTGACCGCTGGAATGTTCACTGAGCTCCTTGTAAAGGTGTGAGACAGAGCAGCTGTGAGGAAGAGCGAGAGACACTGAAAACACCAGACAGACCAGTAAGTGAGAGAGAGACAGGGAGATAAGATGGTTACAGAGAGAATTGATAGGTTAGCTTAGATAGGTTAGATAGATAGCTTATCTGAGTCATCAGATGACTTTAATGCCTTTTTATAATATATTTTGAGAGCAGTCTCACTACAACAATTGCCTGTTTGAAACCATTGAACATAATGATATAAACCTGTCTGTTAATGAGACAAGGTATCCTTGGTATAAACAAGAGTGCACGTCCTGATAATGCTGCTGTAGTAGGACCTTTGAGGTGACTCTATGAAGGAGTTACAGTACATCTCAATGAACTAACAATAGAGGTAACAGCAGGACGTTTTTATAAAAAATGATAACCTCCTGTGAATATTGCATCAGAGATCAGTTTAATACAATTATCTGTATTAAGTGTATGAATTTGCAAGAATTATCAAGTATTGTATTATGATGTTACTTAATCATGATGTGACTGAACCTGAACTTAGTTACCATCTGGCAGAGGTGAAATACATATTTGTACTTAAGGAGACCCTCTGGTTAACAAGTGTCAACATTTTAACAGAGATATCCCCATGAAAGTAGTTATCAGTAGTTATTGGTCACATTAAAACAAGTTATCGGCTACTTTACCTGAACATTGGATAAACCCAGGTTCGAAATCTTTGTTTGACTTTGTTGATGTGTTAGAGTCAAAGGTGTTTCAGAGGGAATATTAGATATCTCTTAGTATCACTCAATCGAAACGTAATGTCAACAGCCATAACGAAGACAAACTTTTCCGCACGATTTTAAAGAATGAAGAAGATGGCTGTTATAAACTAAGCCTACGCTTCACTTAACAAGATAGCAGTGATATTGTGACCGGCACTCAGAGTTTTTAGTTTCATCGCATGTTGCATAGTCTTGCCGTGCTGTTAGAAAGCAGCTTTGGAGAATATATGGCTAAGTTTTACACATTGTTCCTTTTAAGATACTAAAAGTAAAACAGCAAATATCAAAAATTCTCAAAACATTAAGAGGTTGAACTATTCAGGACTGATGGGTAGTTCCTAAAACCTCTAGATATTAAATATTTCCTTAATCTGGTAGAAACTTTTCAGATGTCTTTTCTACCTGATTTAACATTTAGCCAAATGTTTTTACTTTTCAGATTTGGTATTTTGTCACCTATTCTTTTGACTTGCAAATCATCAATAATTAGGCTGCAAACTAACAGATTTCCAAAAATGTCAGAATATGTCGAAGTAGGCTAATGTGTGATGCGTACCTGCAGCATCCTGGTGGACGGGATCCCCACTGACACTGCCAGCGTCAGAAAGCCAAGAAGTACCACGCCCGTCTCCCTACACTGTTCCCACGACAACACCCTCATCCTGGTGAATCAGAGACACAGACAAAAATAAATACAGGTTTGATATGTGGACCTTACTGGTACTAAAAGTTTCCATGAGAAAGACATTAGACCATTTCCTCCAGGCACTTTTCCTTTGTGTGTAAAGAATATATTATATATATAGTTGTTTCCTTTTGGACATGTAAGATGAGCAAAACTTGCCTGGGAACTAAAAGAATCAGACGAATCTGCGAGCTCATGTTTTATTTGCGCTGGCAGATGCGTCTGGCCCCCTTCCACTAGAACAATCCCAGCGTCATTTTCTAAAAGAATAAAGATAACTGCAGCTGATGTGGACATTTAGTTAAGACTGCTAAGGATCGGTTTCACAGACTATATATGTGACCTGCTCTATCAAATTCAGTCACACCAACCCCGTAACATATTTTGAGTTATGTACACTGTTGGTAAGAGGAGATGGGATTCTTAGTTTTACTATGATATCCTTATTGTTTTTGTACTCCAAATATTCAGCAAAATATTTCACATAAAATGATGACTGTTACCAAGACACAATATTGTTAAAATTATTTTTTTATTTAGTGATATAGCAATTACAGGGCATACAAGTACAGTGGCACAAATACACACAAGAGAATAACTAGAATGCACAAGTAAAGACAACTAACAAATGACAAAATACACATGGAGACCAGAAAAAAACCGGTGTAATGACTGGTTGTCACACTGCACACAAACTTTATTTTCCTCTTTTTAAAGACCATAACTTGTCTGTCTCATTTTATTCAGGATCATCTCAAACCAAAATGAAGAAATGTGCGGAAGAAGAAGTCCAGGCTGTTGAGAAAGCGCTCATGGACTACATTAGCTCTGGGAAAGTTCCTGGGAAATCCCAGAGTGCATTGAAGCTTCACCAGTAGCACTGAAAGGGAGGAGTTGGGAGGGATTGACATTTTATGTCAAAAACTGCATTGATGCTTTGAAGCGAACCTCTGCAAAACAAAGGTAAGCTTAAAGTCCTAAATCTTCCTGTTTTAAGTTAAATGTTTTATTTTCCTAACAGCAATAGAGTTGTGTAACTTAACTTTGTAATGTACAGTATATATGCACTGAAAGAAATGTTAATGTTAAGAGCATCACACTTGTGCCACTGTTTAGAGCATTGCAGCTGTACTGTGATATTCCAGTACACTGTTTGTGTTTAGGATATCAGATATGCACATAACTACAATAAAGTTCAATAAAGCTCTCAATATAAACATTGTATTGAGAGTGCTGTCATTAATAAAATAAAAATATAATACAGCACAATCTTTTCTTTAAATTAACACTCTTATGGATTCTAAAAACGTGTCATACGTTGCTTGTAAGAATACAAATAAATACTCTTAAAACAATTTTTTTAGCAGTGACACCAGAGGCCTGTACTACGAAGCTGGTTCAACTTAACCTGGATATGTTGGAGTTAGCCGGTTGGCGTAATCCAAAACATACGCGCTGGCGCTAAGCTGTACTACGACGCTGGATATCAAGTGGATCGCTCAAGCCGCCGTGTCCTATCTAGTTAGGTGCGCGTTCACATGAAAGGGGTGGTATTTGGAGCATTCGACCAATCACAAACACGGAGAAGCGTACTGACAGCGCAGCGTCATACTTCCTGAATGAAAAGTGAACTTTAATATTAGTCAAATATGAGGAAGTTAAACTTTAAACATCCATGACTTAAACACTTTACCCAGGATAAAAGCCACATAGCTGCACCTGCAAGGTGAATACAGCTGGTAAAAGAAAAAGTGTTTGAATGCGTACATTAACAGGTTTATGATATCACTGCCCCGTCCAAGACACGAGTGGATCTGACTTTAATTAGGAGAATTTGACTCGAGTGTTTCGTCAATTTAATGTGTTGCTTAAAATAATACTTCTGCATACAGTATGTGACACTGTGAGTGTTGCACGGCCAGATACGGCTCAAGAAGCTGACTCAAATAAGGAAATATATGATACATTATGATGTGATATGATATGAATGATAATGGGACACATCTACGTCTGCACTCACAGTGCCGTGGACTGTACTTAATGTTACTCTGATCCGGTTACTTATGTCGTGGCAGATATTTAAGTAAGCTTTCTTAACGCTAATGTTATAATAGTCAGATTGCTCTGAAGATGGGAGGTGATATTCTATTAATTTTCACGTTCACACAGTCAGTTGATTTTGGCCGGTCGTCTTTCCTGCAACGGCAGTTTAAACTGTATTTCCTTTCTCCTCCTGTCATATGAATTGATCGCTTTAAACTCCGCACACGGAGCTCTGATTGGTCAGCAGGCGGTGCTTTCACTGAGTTGATCTCTTAGCCTGCCACCTAACCTGCTCCGGAGCAGGGGGGTATACTACGAATCTAGTTCAACATATCCTGGATATGTTTTGAGTTATCCGGCTGACTAAATCCAAAAAAAAAAAACGCTCTCGCTAAACTGTCCTACGACGCTGGCTATCACCTCGACCGCAAGCCAGCCTTGTCCTATCTAGTTAGGTGCGCGTTCACATAAAAGGGGTGGTATTTGGAGCATTCGACCAATCACAAACATGGACAAGCCGTGTACTGACAGCGCAGCGCGTCATATATTTCCTGAATGAAAAGTCAACTAATATTAGACAAATATGAAGACGTTAAACTTTAAACATCCACGACTTAAACACTTGATCCAGGATAAAAGCCACATAGTTGCAGCTGCAAGGTGAATAGGCTACTGCTGGTAAAAGAAAAAGTGTTTGAATACGTTCATTAACAGTTTTATGATATCACTGCTGCCCCGTCCAAGACACGAGTGGATCTGACTTTAATTACATTTGACTCGAGTGTCAACTTAATGTGTTGCTTAAAATAATACTTCTGCATACAGTATGTGACACTGTGAGTGTTGCACGGCCAGATACGGCTCAAGAAGCTGACTCAGATAAGGAAATATATGATACATTATGATGTGATATCATGTGATATGAATGATAATGGGGTACGTCTGCACTCACAGTGCCGCGGACTGTAGGTTACTTATGTTGTGGCAGATATTTAAGTAAGCTTTCTTAACGCTAATGTTATAATAGTCAGATTGCTCTGAAGATGGGAGGTGATATTCTATTAATTTTCACGTTCACACAGTCGGTGATTTTGGCCGGCTGTCTTTCCTGCAACGGCAGTTTAAACTGTATTTCCTTTCTCCTCCTGTCATATGAATTGATCGCTTTAAACTCCGCACACTGAGCTCTGATTGGTCAGCAGGCAGTGCTTTTATCCTGGAACCTATCCTGCTCCGGAGGATAGCCGTTCAGAATAAGTTATCTAGCCCGCTAAAAAGTGAACCAGCTTCGTAGGACCGGAAACCCCTGAAGTTAGCTTGCTAAACGAAAATCTTGATTCGTAGTATAGCCCCCAGGTTTGCCGCTCAGCATAAGTTACCATGGAAATCTAGCCTGCTAAAAAGAGAACCAGCGTCGTAGGACCGGAAAGCCCGAGATTTCCCTGAATTTAGCCGGCTAAGCGAAAATCCAGCTTCGTAGTACAGGCCTCTGGTGGAGGCTTGCAGTAAAACACAACAGGGCTGTCCGGAGCAGGATAGAAAAAACAGACAAAATAATGAATTTAATATTTTAGAAATTGTTAAAGTTCATTTTTGGGATGCCAAGATCCCACAAACAATCTGTGACTTAAAAGCATGCATCTATTTAATTTAGAAATCAGAATCCCCACCAGGTCCCCAAGTGTAACCTCCTAGACAGGAGTCCCTATAGGAAGTACCCACGGGGTAGCAGAAACAAGTATATGTGTGTGTGTGTGTGTGTGTGTGTGTGTGTGTGTGTGTGTGTGTGTGTGTGTGTGTGTGTGTTTGTGTGTGTGTGTGTGTGTGTGTGTGTGTGTGAGATTGAAAGATGAGAGAAAAAATGAATAATAATGAAAGAACTATAATAATGCAAATCATATGAGTGACTATAATAGCCGTTTAGTGTAAATATACATGTGAAAAATAAGATTAAAAAATATAAAATAATTATAACGGTAATAATAGTAATATGAATGATAATAACAATAACAAGAATAATAATAATAACAACAATAGAAACCCATGGATTATTTTACAAGTGGATGGTTGTTTGGTGTGTGCACTGGTTTGGGGCATTGACTGTATGTAGAATTTCGGGGGGGGGGGGGCAGGCCTGGATCAGAACTTAAGGGAGCAAGCCCAAAGTGCAGGCCATGGGGCGCAGTGACAGGGAGGCAAATTCCCCCCGTACCAGACCTTGTTAAGTGGAGGCTGATCTGTTCGAGGGTTTGCTCAGACACGATTCTGAGAAAGCCCTTCAGAGTTTGCTGTCAATATTTTAGCTTGAATTATTTCAAGAGGGGGCTCAAGGCTGTATTTTGGGGGCATCGTACCCCTTGCCCCCCATTAGGACCACCACTGGATTAGCTTTGATTCTGAAATCTGATTTGTCTCTAACAAAATGTGTTTGCAGGCTGCCCCTCTCATAATATTCAACAGTCAGCAGCCCATTTTTATGTATTTTTTAATTGGATCAGGGAAGTGCGGACGAAAGTTGGTGGGTGTGCGTTTGTGTGATTAATTGTGTATTATCCAAGGAAACACACACCACACACACCGCCTGTTGTAAAGTTTATACCGTGAGAATCTCGCTGAAGTTGACACTCAGTCTTGACAAGCTTCAAAAATATATTTATTGTCTCCATATGGCAATGCAAGTGTGATATTCTGAAAGCCAAGACTTTGTTTGCTTGGAATCAGCCAAAACCCTAAAATTACCAAAACATGAGTTTTTCACATAAATCGAGTTTAACTCGGAATGACTGAATTGATTAGAGTGGGTCAGATATAACAGTGGTTTGTAGACTACAAGTTGAGGTTACTGAGTTCTACTGGCAATCAAAGGGTAGCCCCCCAGCTAGCGGGGAACGTTCTCACAACTTTGGCTAACGTTACCTACAGGTTCTAATAAT